CCAATGTCTATCCGGAAACCATCCGATGACCTTCCCTCTGCCCCCTCCAGTTTTCTATTAGATAAAACAAAATCCTGAGCATGCCTCAAAAGGGCTTTCAAATTCTATGGCATCAGTTCTTTCTTCTGAAAGAATTCTGATCCCTCTCTCATTGTGCTACACCTTCCTCCTCTCTGGGTCACAGTGAACACCAGTTCTCATTGTCCTAGAGATTTTTTCTCCTCTTCTCCTCCAGGCAAGCCCCCTTCATTCCTGAAGATCCAGTTTAACTTGTACCCACCAGCAACTGACTTCACAGACTCTCCAAGTCTGATGGGCACTACCTACTATGTGGCCCCAAGGAACCTTCCACACACATATTTTTTAGATAGCATTTATCACATTTTTGTATTTACTTGTTTACAAAGTCCCTTCCCAAAGCCTGAATGGCTCCTAAGAAGTGAGCGCTGTGACAATGAAGTGGGGACTGGGCACCGCCAGAGGGACCTGGAACAACATGCCCGGGAGCATTTTCAGTTCTGAATTAGGTGAATTGTCTGACAAAGAGTACATGTTGATTTCATTGTATAATACCAAATTCAGCAAGTTCAGTTCATTAAGATCTTGGTAAGTGTGACAAGAAAGGTTCTCAAATGGGAGGCTGTCTGTTTTAAGGTCCCTTGGGGTAAATAAAGGCCAAAGGCTAAGTGGCCTACACTGCTCAGCCAGGTATCTACTGGCTAGGTCCTAAGACATCTAATTGAACAGAAACGCTAAAAGTTATAAAATGCAGATATCTCAATAAAAATGTATTATAGGTTGTGACTAGCCTTACTTGGGTATAAACAAAGTTACTCGAGTTTTCTCAAGAGTATAAATAAGACCACTATACGTAAAAGGGAACTTGTGGAATACAAATATTTTAAATATTTTAAAGTTTCCTTTATAAAGACTAAAGAAATTTATTATTGCAAGATATTACCTCCCATAACCACTCCCCCACCACTGCTACCACCACCACCTCAAACAACAGTTCTAAAGCTTTGCACTCTAGTGCTCCTGTTCATCCCAAACCTGAAGTTGGCTATAAACAGTGTATTTCACTACATTTTTAACCCTGATGGGGCATGTGTCATTTGGGTAAACTGGAAGTGGTAGTAAAATTTTGGTTCTAGGTCACTTTTATTTGGAAGATGTCAGAGGTAAATGTTTATGCCACATAAACTCAGATGGCGTGGCCTAAAATACTTCCTCACATTCCTGGGTTTATAATGAAGAACAAACAACTAACATATCCAAAGCTACTCCTATCCTCGCTGGTGTTTTTAATACAGTATTTGCTACTATCCAGAAACTAGTTAAGGACATTATGATGAATCTCAAGAAGAAGTAAAATGTTTGAATGGTAGGAACTAGTCAACCACGGGTGGAAGGAACGCGTCTGGCCTGACACACAAGGCCAGACTTGGGCTGCAGTGTGACTGCCTTGCTGGTGACAAGAGTCCGAACCAACCTTTTAAACATGTTTTCAGATAAACACAGGACTTAAGCCTCAGGCATCCACTCTTTCACAAGGTAAGTATTACTAAGTGGCTACTATGTGCAGACATTCTTCAACAAGCTTGTGGTGTATTTATGAACAAAACATAAAAATTCCCAGTCTTCACGGAACTTATATTCTCGTAGGTTGGAACAGGCAATGTCTCTAGCAGTAAACTGAAAAAAACTTTGTATAAAGGATGTCTAAGAACCTTTCTTTGTGAAACTAAGCTTATATTTTATAATATACAATGCTTATCCCTCAACACTAGACCTCTACTGTGAAATGCAAAGGTTTACCTCTGAAAACTAGTAAGAATTAAGCTTGCAAGATGAACTGTTAGCATAACTGTAGTTCATACTTTTTCTTTGAATTAGCATCTCACAAGACTCGCCCTCTCAGAGTCTCAGTGTCCTGTTCTTCCATCTAACAGAATGCATTTCCCTGTCTCTGGACGCCATGCACACAAGCTCTCTACCAAGTCCTGGAGACACAAAGTTGCATAAGACACAACCTTTACCCCTAAACATTTAGTTCAACAAGAACAAGACAGGAAAAGCAAGTTTATGAGTGGATGTGAAGTATGTAAAGCATGCTGGCTGCATCCAGAGGCAGGGACAGTTAGATCTGCCTGAAGAAGGCCACTCTAAGGTGGTGCAGATGCCAAACCTGGGAGGATAGGTAAATGGATGAAGGCAGGAAGGTGTGGTGGCTCATAAGGACCAGGAAGCAAGTGCTAAAAAGCTAAGTCCTGTAACAGCAGAGGCCACATCTGCACAGAGGCCACCACAGGGTGCTATGTCCCTCATGAGAAGAAATGGAAAGCAGAAGTCAAGGTGGCTGTGAGCAGACTCAAGTTGGAGCTCTGGGTGCACTGAGAAGGGTGACACAGCTTAACTAAAGACACAGGTTAACTAAAGGGCAAACTGAGGCAGCAAGGAAACCAAGCAGCAAAAAAGGACAATGCTAACAATGTAACCTGAACCCAAATCACACCAGCGTTCTGTTAGCAGGTGGGCCTCTCCACTTGCCATTGGACATGACACCCACTGGTCACCAGGGATTAATGGCAGACCCTTCCATCCGTATGCCAGCCTCAGTCTAGCAATGTTTGCAGCCCAGGCACAGGGGAAGTGCCACTGACTATGCCCTTTATATCTGCATCAGCTGTATAAACCAGAGAACTCTCTCCCTCATGCTAAATACCCAGGAATGCATGTCCCAGAATGCACAAAGTTCTTTTTATTTTTAACCACAAGCACTATCTCCTGGCACTAAGAAATCAATAGCAAGAAGACACCAGGCATGGGGTCACTCTATGTGTTACAGATAGCATACTCTGCATTGTGTCATGCGTCTACCCAGCTAGTCTTGGGAACGCCTCAAGGGCAGGACCGCTAATAGTACTCCAGGAAGGGCTGACATGCCAATGAATGAATGAACTCACCAAAATTTTTCCCATAGTTCCAAGAGAGTACAACAGATAGATACAAAATGCACCAATTGCTGCTATTTTTCATTCTAAATGACGATAGCATGAGGGGTATTCAATTAGTTTCTTGCAAACTTGACTTCCGTGACCCTCCACACAGACACACAAAGTCAAACACTGGAATCGGAGGAGGGCAATTTTTAAGTTTTAAGTAGTTTTCCACACTCAGCAGTTTGCTGAGTGAAAGTGATAGTACCAGTTCCCCTGCCCCTCAGTCTGCCCTTCCATCCACACACTCACACCCACCAGCTTTGAAAAAGAAACACCATAACCCACAATACTCAGGAAAAAAAACCTTTCTGCAAAAGTTTAAGGACACACTGTAAACCCTCATTTTCTCTATGTGACTATATACATGTGCAGTATCCTGACAAGGCTGGAAGCTAACACTATAGAGAAAATGGGCAAAACAATTTTCCTTAAAAGAAAAAAAACGGGGAGGGAAGAGCATAAGGGACATGGTGATGGTTCATGGGTGATGTGGTGGTGGGAGATTTATGGGGACTACACCTATGGGGAGAAATCAAATACTGTACAAAAATGAACACTAATGTAAGAAAATTAAAAAGTTTAGTAAAAAATAAAATAGAGTTGAGGAAACTATTGGGAGACAAATTGTACAAATAAATGCCATAAAGAACTCTTAAATAAGAAAAAGAAAGGGAAAAAAAGACCCATCTTATTACATCAATAAGTAAATAATCATTTACATCAGAGTCCAATACTCTGGGCAGGGAATCCTCGGGCCTGGCTGTGAGGCCTGCTTCAGAACAGCTGTGCACACTTATCCCCAGAGCAGCTGGGGTACCTCCTTCCTAAGGTCTTTCCAGCATTTGTCCTCTAGTGCCCAAATTATGGAGCCTTTGTTTAATGAAGAAGAGAGCTGACTTCACTGATTAAATAAGATTTGTGTAAAGAAACACAAAAGTAGCAGTCCAAACTGACAGTTATTGAGCAGAGGTACTTCAAAAGTCAGCCCTCTTCCCCTGTGGTGTGAGAGGGTGTGTTGGGGGACCTAGACCAGAGCGGGGCCGGGGTGGGGGGGTGTCCTTTTCTCATTGAGGAGAATAAGAAAGCGCAGAGACTGGTATACCAGAGAACTACCCTCTCTGGAATTCACAGAGGGTCTGGTCTTTTATCCCCAGGCCCAAGCCTAAGACTGGGGACCCGGGTTTTGTCAGGGGCGCCTCCCTGCTGTCCTGCCCTAGGCCGCTCCACATGAGCAGAGAGAGACAGGAGGCAGGCCCCTCTGACACCTACTTAACCAAGGCAGATGGAGAGGAGAGTGTGGGGGATGCCTTTACTTCCCCCTCCGGAGGCGCCCAGCAGGAGTCCTCAGAGCCAGCAGCTCCAAAATCGGATTTCCACACATCCTCCCACCCCAGAACATGCCTCGCCCCTCTGGCAGGAGGAAACAGAGCATTAAGCGAGTGTGGCTCTGGTGCACAAAGGGGGTTTTAGAAGACCTCAAGAAGCCTTCTTACCAGATTCTCTGCTTCCCCCCAACTTCTAAGAGGTAGCCAAGCTGGGAAACAGTTACTCACTCACTGACCCGAAGGGGGCAAGAGCGTCACTTTGAGGAGGTTACAATCAGCGTCTGCAAGACGTCCTGAGCTACAGACACATACTTTATTAATAATCTTACATACACAAAATGTCCAAGGGAAAGCCTAACAGGCTAATTTCTGACAGCTCCAGATAACAGCAGGAGCAACTGAAGCCAGGCCGACTCTCCAGCGTGCACAGACGCCACAGAAGTAATGACGGCTTTCCCACCCAAGGGCTGAGAGACAAATAAATACATACAATTATCTGCAGAACCTAAAGTGCAAGACCAACACTGGGAAGTCCTTCTCCCCGAGTGCAGTGACTTGTGGGGACCCGATAGGAAAATAAAAGGAACAGCTGGAAAAGTTAATTGCAGAAGAACAACGCAGAAGCTGACATTGATCCACAGAGCGCGCCCAGGGCCAAGCCACTCTCCCTTACCTTAAGATACAGAAGCAGCTCTTCGCTCCGGAAGATAAGCGACAGAATCCGAATCTCTGTTTGCTGTCAATGTCAGTGAGCACGAAAGTGAAGTTCTGGCCAACTTGGCTCACTGTGAGGCTGTGGCAAGGACAGAACAAAGGGAAAAATGAGTGTGCAGTAAGTTTCTTGATAAAGTATCTAATCACTGACAAGTCGTTGAACCTGTAACATTTCCTTTCTCAGTGGAACTCTTTACAAATGAGCTTAGGATTTACACACTTCAAGGGAACAGACTAGGAGCTAGTAAAATAAAATAAAACAAAGACTGCGAGCAGCCTGTTCCAGGGACCACCTCCTCAGACCGGCATGCGGCCCCCTTAATGAGGTCGGGCAGGTAGCCCGGATGAGCAGCCCATCAAATGCTGAAAGGTGCATGCTATTAATCTCATTTTCTAGAAGAGGAAATCGCCCATAGTGGCACTGCCTAAGATGCTGGCTGGACTGTGGCAAAAAGTTGGTGTTAAACAGAGGTCTGTCTGTTCCAAAGGCCATTCAGCTGGCTTGCTGTTAGCAATGCCCAAATGGTCATTCCCGGGTTCAGAAAATCAGTCCCCCCTGTGCAGCAGGGGGACTGAAGTGCCAGCCACACTCAGAGATGTCATCACACTCACCCTCCCAACTGATACTTAGATGTTGTTGTTCCCATTTTACAGGAAAGGAAGTGGAAAGGTAGGTGAGTAGTTCACTTCACAGCACTACTGGTGGGGAGGCTGGAATTCAAGAGGCAGCCAAGCCAGTCACCCCTTCCCTAACTTCCCGTGTCTTCCAATTCCTGAATTTATGAGGATCATGTGCTGTATTTTCCAGGTCAGAAATACTAAATGTCTTAACATGGCAGGGTGCTTTCTAAGAAATGGAAACAGGTTTTTAAGGAAGATACTAAAGAAAAAAAGCTAAATATTCCTGCCTCAACACAAATATTAGCAAACCACACCTAACAGCCACATTAAACTAGACAATATCTATTTCACAAAATTAAAGTCTTTTACTAGATTGTTCTAGAAATTCTTTTCAGAAAGTTACAAAACATTTTAAAATTTACTTTTAAAAAGTGGTTTACCAGTTAACTGCAGAAGCTGCAATCAGCTGCTTCTGCATTCCTTTTTAAAAACCTAATCACTCCAAAATTCAATCTATAAATTCATGCTAACATACTTGTGAATTTGACCTTGAATTAGTAAAGGAACTCATTAACTCATATTGCACTCCACAGATTATATTGTATTTTATAAAATATACTCATACTGATAAAATATTCAAATTGATGCCCTCACCTATAATTTACCTTATAAATTGTCAGTGGAAATGCAAAAAATGTCTCACTGGACCTTTTCCAAAGGTAGACATTTTATTGAACTATGGTTAGGATATGAACTAAGTTTTCAGATAGGCATAGCCTTCCTTTCTAAAATTCCCTAATAACCAACTGCATAAGAACATTAAGAGGAAAGAGGCTTTCAGTAAATCCCAATGTAAACAGTCAATGAGCTCTATCTGGTCATGTTTAAGGAAGCAACTCCACCCCTTGGAGAGTGGTTAGAGTTCCAGAAAACAATTCAGAAAGCGAAGGAAGTGTTTCACTCTCCTTTTTTAACTAGGAAGGTGAACGAAAACAAGGTGGCAATTTAAAAGCAACGTGGTAGTAAAACAGGTGTAAGTAATGCTATCCCTCCACCCTCCACCAGCCTGGAGAAGGAGCGCGTTTCTATAAAAGTTATAGAGCCGTCAAGGGGACACCAAACGCTACCTTCTTATGGCTGTTATGTTTTATCTATAAAGCTCGGATACTGTGTTACTATGGTGATTTAATACTATGTTTTAAAGGGGGATTATATGATTAATTTTAACAAGGTTGAGAACTGGAGATGTGTGAGAAACAGGATTCTAGCTCACATAATTAAAGTGATGGGGGAAAGTGGGCCTCGTTGGGGGAAGGGAAACCTGTATTATTAAATTATTTCAAGCAACAGGTCAGGATGACTCTAAATTACAAAATAAGGTCATGCTTTTGCAAAGCATGGTTAGGTGATCGTACAAAAACGTGAATGCTCACTGATTAACTCAGGATTTGATTTTACTTCCAGAATGTTTAAAATGAAGCATGCTAGAGAGAAATGGTATAGACAGGATGAAAAGCAAACACCAAGGAGAAGGAATACAACCTGGTTTGTGAATGGAGTGTCATTAATTTCCCTATTATCTTTTCACTACCATTAATAATGCTGAAAATGCTTTTAGCTACATTGTAAGCCCAAAGACAGATTCATTACTCATCTGCTTGGTTCTAATCCCAACTCAATCACTTGCTTAGTGGGCCTTAATTTAGCAAGTTACTTAACTTCTAAACACCTCAGTTTCTTCACTTGGAAAAACCAGGAGAAAGTACCAACCCAAAGGACACTTAAGGAATAAGTGAGATCTGCAGTCGACTTGAGGGTCAGTCCATGATAGGCACAATTCAAAGAAACGCAAGCTGTTACCATCCAAAGAGAAACTCGATTTATATTAAAGTTATGCATCTGCCTAGAATCTTCTGACTCGACTTTGTAACACTTGCAAATGAAGAAAGCGAGGCTGCCTTTCCTTAATCTTGGAGCAACCCAACGGAGCAGAGTCTTTTTGGGGGTGCCACAGCTCAGAGGGGCACTTATTATTCTCGGTTAGTGTACCTTTTTCATTCCTAGTAGGGTGGGGCGTTAGTCATTAAAAGCCTCAAAACATTAAATTCTAAAACTTTTTTTTTTCCTGGACAATTTCCAATAAACTGAAAGTCAGGCGAAGGCCATCTAACAGAGGTTAACTGGAAGGGTTTAGAAACCCCAGGGAATTTACCTTCAGGTTCAGAATCCCTAATTTTTTTTAATAGAAATAAGAGATCCTGGTGATTAAAGGTGGGAGAAAACTACAAACCAGCTTGTCCAATTCTCTTGTTTCTAAATGGAGAAACTGAGGTTCAGGGTCAGGTTAATGGGGTTTGTTTTGCTTTTTCAAAGTAATCTGGACAAAACAAAAATCCAAGTCCTTTCCAGTCCGCCATGCTGAGTTAAACACAATGCAAACCCTCTCTGAGAGGCTTCCACCTCAGCTCAAGAAACTCAGGTATGAGAGGCATTCAGAAAGTTGTCTTACCAAACAGACTGACTCTACTGCCCATGAGGCAAGAGAAACCAAATTTCAGTCTTTCCAGAAATGGTCCCATGTGATGAGGGCCAAGACCACCCTGCATTGTGCTTCCCTTGCCTACGAGAGAGTGTGGCAAACACAGGAGAAAAGCATCACTATTCAAACCCCAGACTTGAACCTTCACACTAACCGCTGATGTCAGTCAGCCACTCAAGATTCCACTGGCAGCATCCTGCTTACTTTTGAAGCTGCTTAGGGACCCGGTATGTAAATGGCATGAAGCGAGCAGACAGACAGTTGGAGTACAATCTTCCAGTGAGAATGGGATTTTCCATATCAGCCTCACTGGAAGTTTCCTTTTCCATCTTACAAGCTGAGCAATGACTACACTGGCACAGTAACAAGTGCTGGGTCTTGCTGGAGCTCTCGCTCTGGCTGGAGACAATCAGCAAGTACACCAGAGAAATAGTGCTCGTATGAAACCTAAAAAAGGGACAAAGGTAAATAGATAAGGCAAAGTCCTACTGAGATCAGGTGGTGAGAGACAGTTTCCCAGGTATGGCAACAATCCTGACTTCCAGGAGCAGCTGGAGCAGTCTGTCCAGAAGCAGAGGCCTGGGTGTTTCAGGAAGAAAGAAAGCCACACAAGGATTCTCAGGCTGGAAAGAGTGAGGCATGGCCAAGGAACTAAAAGGACACCAGTTCAGCTAATCCACAGGTGATAAGGAGAAAGTGGCATGATACCAAGTTGCTGTTTAATGCAATGCCCAATCATGCAGAGAACCTCACAGATCTTGGTAAAGAATTGGGATTCTTTTGTAAGGGCCACAGAATGGTTTTAATCAAGAGAACAGCAGTCTGGTCTGCATTTTTGAAGTCCTGATCTGACTGCTACATGGAGGACAATTTGGAAAAAGGAAGAAAAAGAAGCATAAAAAATAATTAAGAGGCTAGAACAGCAGTCTCAGTGAGACCGGCTGGTGGCTTAACTCACGAATGAGAGTGGAGATGGATGGGGTGGACTGCTCTGGGTTTTAGCAAGAGAGATAAATGACAGGTGGACGGTCATTTATGGACTGATAGTTGGGGAAGAAAAAGGCAGTGTGTTACCATTCAATGAGAGGACAAACTAACAAGTTTGGGGGGATATCCAAGAGATCCATTTGGAATATGCTAATTCAGAAATGTCTAGTACCTAATTGAACATTCTACTAGGGAAATCGGAGGAAAAGCTACACATTTGGAGGTCACCTATGCAGAGAGGGCATCTGATGCCATGGTAGATGTCGAGATCACTTAGGGAGAAAGTGCAGAGAAACAGAAGAGAACCTAGGACCGAGTTAAGGTACCCCTTTTATTTATTTTTTATTTTATATATATTTTACATTATTTTTCATTTTTGCACAATGTATGCATTCTCGTAATGGTTATAGTCCCCACCGTTCCCACCCCCCCTTGTTTTCATCCTACTCCCTTCTTCCCCCCCCCAATATTGTGTCTCTGGTTTATAGTTGCTTGTTGATTTTGATTTTTACTTTATTATAACTCATGCAATTTGCAGCAACATGGATGGAAATGGAAGGCATTATGCTCAGCAAAATAAGCCAGAAAGAATAAGAAAAATACTGGATGGTCTCACTCATAGCAGGAATTTAGAAAACCTAAATAAGGGACCAGGAAAAAGACTAATTATAATAAAGAAACCTCTTTCAGATGATGGGTAGTGAAGAGACCACCAAAGAAACAAAGGCAAACAACCGGCATGGCTGCGGCCAGTGGCACCGGTGCATGGAGACGAGGAGAGGAGAGGCGTCTATTGACCTGAGCAATGTGGAGGTTTGAGATGAGCTTGTAAGAAAAGCTCTAGCTCAGTAAAGGAAGCAGAAGACAGACTGAAGACGAATAAAGTGAAGCATGTAGCTAACTCTTCCCCAAAGCAGAGAATTAGGCAGTAA